TTGGCGCAGTCCTTGGCCCTCTCGGGACACTCTTGGCGCTCTTTGTGGCGCCTGCCCGAGGCCACCCAGGAGCCATATTGAATGGAGAAATGCGCAATCCAAGAAGTTGTCAAAAACCTTCGGAGGCCTTCAGCTGGTTGACTGATTTGAGCGGACTTGGAGCCCCCTTGTGGCCTCGTCGGCCCCTTTTGGGGCGATCTTGGAGTCTCTTGGGCCATGGGGCTCTTGTAAAGCTGTTTGAAAGCCCTCCTGGGACATCGTGGAGGGCACTGGGGCCACCTTGTAGGCTCTTGGGGCCTCCAGGAGAAATCCTGAGGAGGCTGCAAGCGGGGAGGGGCCCTGAATGTACTCTGGGTGACCCGGGTGTGGGTGCAGGGGGTCTGGGCCCATCGGGCAGAAAATGGCACAAAGAACGTATGGTGTATGTTGAATGACGCCCGTTCCTAGGGGAACAAACAATTACATGAACACAAAACTCGGAGGTCCGCGCAAATTCATCGGATCGGCGCTGGACCCCCCTCGCGCACCAAGGGCGGCGCCGGACGCGCCGCTCAGGGGGCCCAACGCCGATCCAAGACATCCACGCGGACCTCAAAAAATCTCCGTTTGAGCCGACGCTTCGCCTCCGATGCACGGAACTTGTCACCACGGGCAACCCCCCTGGGGGGGGAAGGCAGGATTTGTTGTTTAGAATGTTCGTTGTTTTCCTCCGAAGGCGTTTTGACGTGTCCGCGCCGCCCGGTTGCGCGCCCCGACGAGCTGTGGCGCCGACCTGGCCACTGCGATCTCCGTGCGCCGACGGCCCGGATGCGAAAACTTCACAGCGCGGACGTCGCGGGCGCGGAGAAGGAGGGAGGAAGCTTCCCAGGACGCGCACTGCAGGAAGAAAACCGGGAGGAGAAATCGGAGGAAAGACCAAACCAAAAAAAAGAGAGGCGGAGGACGGGGAAGGCGTGGGGGGGAGAGGAGGAGGTTCCCACGGCGGCCTCGGGAGACACTTCGGGGCCTGTTGGCGGCGCGCGGGGGCCTCCACGGGCCCTACCGCACAGAGGGCACGGCTCGGGCCCACGGCCCGCTCGGGCTGTCGTGCCCCTTGCCCCGTGTGCTCCGTGGCCCGTGTGCGCGGCCCGCACGCTCCGTGGCCCCGTGGCCCCCTGTGCTCCGCGGCCCGAGCCCCGGGGACGCGGCGGAAAAGTCTGCGCACGACGGCCCCGTCGGAAAGCCGCCGCGGCCCGTCGAACAACTTCTCGGTTGTGTTTTGGCCCCGTCGGATGTTTTCGGGGGGGGGCGCGGTGGCCCCCTCGTTTTTTCTCTCATGGCCCGCGGAACAAACACCCTGAATAAAAACGTGTCTTTCTGCTGGCCTATACACACCTGTGAAAACACAAGGAATCGTTTCGACGCAAGTTGTTCAACGAGAGTTGCCGCCCTCCGTTCGGCGACGTCGCAAAAGGAGGTCGGGCTCGAGGGTGGGTAAATAAACACATTGGCCCCGGAGCCCTGAGCCTCGCAGTGGCTGGTAATGCCCCTGGTGCTCGTAGTTTTACGGTGGCTCATCCCCCGCCCTCCCCCCCATCCCCCCTCCTCCCCCCGTGCCCGTTCCCGATCCCTTTTGTTTTCGCCCGCGCCCCCGCTTCCCCCCCTCCCCCGCCCCCTCCCCCTCCCCCCCGCTCTCCCTGTAATTCTCGAGAGAAGGAGCGTCTTCGTCCCGAGCAGCGCGGCGGCGCTAGAAGGCCGAAGATCTCGTCCGTCCGCCCGCTCCGCCCCGACTCCGGGGACGGCGTGCTTCCCAGCTGGGAATTCACCCAGGGCCCGTTTCTGACGGCCTCCGGGGCCCCGGGAGGTCCATCGAAGAAAAACGCACGGGGATATCGAAAATACATGCTGACGCAACAGCAAAAGGGCCTCGTCCTCTGGGGACCTCTGGGATCCTCTGGGAGCTTCTGGGGACCATGCCTCAGCCGACAATCCCCCGAATGCCTTTTCGAAAACCATCGACGAAACAGTCAGAACACATGACAGGAGAACCGCGTCCCACGCGTTTAGATCAACATTCAGAACCAATGAAATGGCGTTTTATCATCCTTCCTCCTTCGCGCCCACGACGCCCGCGCTCCAAAAGGGTCGCCCCGTCAGAGCCAAATTTTAAGCCTCGGCCCCTGCCCGCAGTGAAACCTGCTCCCCTCTGAAACAATCGACGGACTCGAATCAGCCTCCCCTGTAGCCTCGAGGGCTTCGACAGAGCAGACCCGTGGTGCCATCGAGCGTGCACCACTAGAGACCGCCCTCGAGCACCACTCAAAACGTTCATGGTGCCATCGAGCGCAGGGCGACAAACACGAATAACTGAACAAAAGTGGAACGTCACCTTGAAAGAGAGGGGGGAAGGGGCGGGAAGAGCAAGGAGGGAAGGGGAAGGGGAAGGGGGAGGAGGGAGCAGCCTCGAGTCGACCTCACCCTCCGCCTCGAGAAGGCCTCGATAGAGCAGACCCCGCCGGGCCTCCCACCGCCGCGGCTGCGGCTGCGGCTCCGGCGGCCGCGGCCCTGCCCGATCACCCCAAGACCGGCGCGCGGAGGCGCGCCGGCGCGCACGGCCAAGGCCGCCGTGGCCCAGAAGTGGGGGGGCAACGTCAGGACCTCCTGCCCCCTCCTGCCTCCTCCTGCCTCCTCCTGCCTCCTCCTCCTCCTCCTCCTCCTCCTCCTCCTCCTCCTCCTCCTCCGCCTCC